CTGGTGAGTGGCCTAAAACTAGCAGGAGACTGGGGACTGTCTCCTCCACACCCCTGCCCCCCAGACCCAGACCTGGGTTCAGGTTCTGGCTCTGCCATTTACTAGCCATGTGACCTCAGACATGTGGCCTCACTCTCCACGCCTTGGTTTTCTCAACTGTAAACTGGTCATAATAGTAGTACCTACCTTACAGTGTACGTGTGAGGATTAATAAATGAGTTAATACCTAGAAAGAGCTTAGAGCAAATGCCAAGAAAGATACCAAGAAAGCACTTGGAGAAGTTCTTAACCTGTGTTATAAAACTTGTCATCATTGCCTTGCTTTTACTACTGTTAGAGCCTAACTGAGCACGGCTTCCTTCCCCACTGTTGCCTTAGTAGAGGGTTAGGCAGGCACCCAGCAGTCTGCTGTGGACAGTGATGGTCTTGTCACTTCCCTATCCTCCTAAAATCAGGGCCCAGGGGCTGGAAGAGGTCTCAGAGCTGATTAACTCCCAGGTGGAAGAGACTTGTCCCTTGAATCAGTTCCTGTCCCCTCGTGCCCCCCACCCCAATGCTGGTTCAGCCCCCACCAGGGACAGACATGGAACTGGGTCCTCTTTCACTTCTTGGGGCTCATGTCTGAGGCCAGTGCGCACTTCCTTCTTTGGGCTTCAGGATCCCAGTGAAAACTGGCATCTCGAATGTGCCACCTTAAGTGATGTAATAGAGCTTGGTGGCAGAAGAGACGGTCACCTCCCTCCCAGGGGTTCCTTCTGGCAGGGCTACTACTGTCTCTTCATCTGTAAAATGGGGATCAAATAGCTCCTCCCTTTCAGGGTAGTATAGAGATTTAAACAAGGACTGTGTCTGGCAATCTGAAATTCTAGTTATTATTATTGCTATTATTGCTGTCAATTACTAATGTTTACAGCTTGCTCAAAGCTTCAGTAGGCACTCTCAAGCTCTAAGAACTCACACTGACCTGGCCTGGAAGCTGGGACTCTCCTTTAGACAGAATAGAAGACCAGAGAGGTTCAGCAACCTACTCAGGGACACACAGACAGAAAGGCGGGTGGTGTTAATTAAGGTTTGGTCTGAGGAAAGAGCCCAAGTTGGACTCTGCAGGGTGATTTTGGCAACTGACTCAGCCTGTCCCAGCCTCAGTTTTCCATTAGTCAAATGGGGATAATAATAGCGTTCCCTCCATAGGGATTGTAGGTTATTGGGAAGATTATTATTATTATTATTGTAGGATTGGGAAGATTAAAATGGGTTAATTAACACCAGGAAAAGTTAATATATTAACTGGTGGTCGCTGTGGCAGTGACAAGGGGGACTCAGTTTTTCCATCTGCAAGATGGGTGCCCTTGCCCCACGGGTGGGCCAGGGCAGCCGGGGATGGGCGGGCCCCGCTCGCGGAAGGGCTTCCTGGGGTAGGCAGGGCGCCTGAGACCTGGTCCCGGCGCCGAGTTGGCGGACAGCAAGCCCGGGCTCAGTTCCGGCCTGGCTTTCCTTCTCCCTTTTCGAGTAACTCCTGGGCCTGCGGGTTCACTTGCTCGGGGCCGGCCGCCGGAAGTTGCGCAAACGTTGTGTTACCTGAGCCCAGGTGGGCCGGGCTGGAGAGCGCAGAGCGCCGGTCAGGACGCAGTCAGGTATGTGCGGGCCGGAGCCTGGGCTCCCGGCCGGGGTCGGGGCTTCCCGGGCACCTCTCCCTCCTCCTCTGGTAGGCGGGGACCGGGCCGAAACTCACCTTCAGGCCCGGACGAGGCTGCAGGAATCGTGCCGTCTGCTCCATTTAAGAACTCGGAGAGGGGCGGCTAGCAGAGTAGAGTCACACAGCGTGCCGCCGGGCTCTGGGCCTCCTCCGCCTCTAGGAGTTCCCAAGATTGCCCATGGCTAGGAAGGGCAAGGGCAGAAGCTAGACCGGGGATCCTGGCTCCCCCGCAGTCCCCCACCGCGTCCTCCTGAGGCTAATGCCCGGGAAGCCGCTGGGGAGGGAGCGTGGTGAGGCTACGTGCCCGAGGATGCCAAGGAGAAGGGCCTGGGGCCGGCGTATTTGGGGTCGTTTGTGGGTGTTTGAGATCCGTGGGTTGGGCGTTGGGTGATGAGAGGAGGCCTCAGAGAGGGCACGAGCCCCACCTGGGGACCGGGACCCTGGCTTCAACTCGCAGGAGCCGCAGCACTTTGGGTTTCACCCGCCTGTGGAATGAGTCTTGTTCACTGATGAACCTCCTTTGTCCGCGGCTTAGGCTCAGATAGACCCTTCTGGAGAAGGCTTAGAGACCCCTGCGAGAGGAGCGGTCTAAGGAGTTGGGTCCAATTCGTAATAAAACAAGGAGCCCAGTTCACGCAGTGAATGAAAGTGCTCGACTTGTTTTTTCTCTCTCCATCCTCACGGTGACCTGGAGGATGAGGAAGGTCTATTTTTAACAGCATTTCACGGATAAGGAAACCCCAAGTCTGGAAGAGGTGCAGCTGCTTGCGAAAGGCACACAGCGGGCGAGTGGGCGAGTTCTGGGCGAGCTGGCCAGCGGCCCCATAGCCAAGCTTGGCTCCTAGAATCTGCCCTGGTCTGGCCAGAAGAGCCCCTGGGGCGCCTGGTCCGCTGGAGGCGGTGGAAGCCCGAGCTGGTTGGCTGTGGGGGTCGCAGAACTTATGCCCTAGCCCTGCCCATCTGACCTCCTTCCTCCCTCTGTTTCCCCGATGGTGCCCGTGAGGAAACTCATGCCACCAACGGGTTGGACTGGTTTGGGAGGTGGCGACTGGGGGGGTGGGGCAGAGCCTACCTACCTTGACAGGACATGCTACCTTTCTTGTGACCCTTCCCTCCTGAGGTCTCCTTGGGGGTTGATCCTGAGTGGGGCAGCCTTCTTCTCCCACCTGCTTCATCCCTTCTACCTCTGGAGCAGCTCTGGCTCTGGGCCAACACCCCCCAAGTTTCTGTTGTCAACTTGGCTTGGTTGCAGAGGTCTCAAATTGGGGTGGGAGGGGAGAGGCTCAGATATGTTTGCAGGCATTTTGCTTGCCCTGTCCATGCAGTTTTTAATATTATTATTATCAAATAGACTAACAATCTAGAGTTTCCATGCACTCTGGTTTCCCAACTTCCTAGGACATTCTATACCTACCATCTTAAACCATATGCTTGCAGTAGGGTGGGTGTGCCCCCTCTCTAGTTTATTCCTGGTCTCCCTACTTATATTTGGGCCTCACAGGTATTTCATCTTAGTAAAATCCCATTGACTGTTGGTTATGTGTAAAGAGTAATATCTTGAAACTGAGATAGGGGAACAAAACAGACCCTCCCTTGCCACCCCCCCCCCCCAGTTGTTTTAGGAGAATGTGAATAATAATGAGTAAAGCTACTCTTTTTTTAGATGAGTGAATTAGACTTCATGTGACTTTGTTTCTTATTTACTGGCTCTGGAACCTAGGTTGGCAACTTCTTTGAGTCTCAGTTTCTCTATCTGTGAAAATGGGATGACAGAGACCTGTATCACAGACTTGTTTTGAGATTACAGGAGAGGATGATGTCAGATGTCTAGAAGACTGATCCCTCTCTCCCCTCCCCAGTCCAGACTCTTCTCTCATGGCATTCTGGATGTCGAGGTGGGGCTGTCCAGTATAGCTTTCTGCTGCAGATGGAAATGTTCCAATCCGTGCTGTCTAGTAGAGTGACCACTGGCCACATATGACTATTGAGCACTTAAAATATGGCCAATGTGATCAGGAACTGAATTATATTTACTGTAAATTTAAAGTTAAGGCTGAATAGCCATATGTGGCTAGTGGCTATTGAAATAGACAATATTGGTTTAGATTGCCTGAAGGTCCTCTTGAGGATCATCTTGATGGAGTCCCTTTCCCCCATTTTACACAGGAAAAGGTTCAGGACTTGGTCTATGGGTTTTCTTCCAGCCCATCTCCAGGGGGCTTCTGGGAGTGCTTTGGGACTCTAGTCCTTCTTCCTTGGAAAAAGGGACAGGGGTGGCCTGACGGCCAGGGTACTAGCCCTGATGCTTAGATCATGTGGAGACTTGTGCCTCCAGATGTAGGCCCTCCTGCCTAAGTGAGTCCGTACTACTGCTGTTGGCAGATGCAGAGTTGGCTGGATACTCCTGAGCAGGACTGTGATCTTGGGCATTTCCAGCTTCTCCTGGGGCCGCATAGCTCAGGGCTGATGTTTCCACCTGACAGGCATCCATGGGTCACTGTGGGCCTGGCATTGGAATTTCATACTGGAAGCTAATGGGTGACTGGACTCCACTGGGGCAGGGGTGGGGTAGGGACTTTCTGTGCTCCTCCTCCACAAGCTCTGCTGCCATGCCTGGGGCCTGGCATGTCCAGGCGGGTGGATGGCACAGGGCAGCTTCCTGCCTAGGTGAGTGTGGGGTGGAGGTGGCTCCAGGCTTCCTGTGGGCATTCCAGGTGGGGTGTGGGATTGGAGCCCTTTCTCTTGGCCACTCAACCCCAAGACCCCTGCACAGCAGGGGGACAAGGGAGGCAAGGGACAGCCACCAACTTGTTGAATTAGCTTCCTCAAGCTTGCCTCCCTGGGCTTCAGTTTCCCCAAGTGCAAAATGGAGTTGAGAAGAGGACCCACTGAGGTTGAGCTGGCTGATGTCCAACAGTCAGCCTGGAGCCTACTTTGCTTCCTTTAAAATATGCCATCCCCATCCTTTCTGCCCAGGCAGCCAGTGTCTGTCTGCTTCCCTACCTCATTCTGCTTCAGCTGGGCTGGGCCCTCCTCGAAGGAGGGGGGAGTGGGTGGGGCCACAGGCCCCGGCCTTCTGCCTGCTGATTGGCTTCCTGTGAATCAGAGGCGTGGCTTTTACCTTTTAATAGGGAAGGCGTCTTCGGTCTCTTGGTCTTTGCTGAGCCTTTGTCTGAGTGGGCTCTGCCGCTTTCTTTCCACCCTGCAGCCGTTGTGGAGTCCAGCTGCCAGCTTTCTGCTTGGATCTCTGTCTTCTCATTTCTCCAGTCTTCTCAGACAGAAGCCCTCGGGGAATGTAACAGCCATGCCTGTGGACACGCTGACTCCGGGAGCCCGGGACACCCCTGCTCTACCTATCCGCCTACGGACCAAGGTTCCTGGCTACCTGCTACGGCGTCCAGCGGACGGTGGAGCCCGGAAACCTAGTGCTGTCGAACGCCTGGAGGCCGACAAGGCCAAGTATGTCAAGAGCCTGCATGTCGCCAACACTCGTCAGGAGCCTGTGCAGCCCCTGCTGTGCAAACAGCCCCTTTTCAGCCCCGGAACTCGCCGCACCGTGCTCACACCTAGCCGCCGAGCCCTGCCTGGCCCTGGCCGCCGGCCCCAGCTGGACTTGGACATCCTTAGCAGCCTCATCAATTTGTGTGATAGTCCTGTGTCCCCTGCCGAGGCCAGCCGTACCCCCGGACGGGCTGAGGGGGCCAGGCAGACTCCCCCGGCCACGCCCCCACGCCCACCGCCGAGTATTGCTGCGGTCCGACGAGTGGATGTCCTGCCCCTGCCGGCGTCACCTGTCCAGCCCTGCCCATCGCCAGGCCCTGCCGCCGCCTCTAGCCCAGTCCGGCCCCCAGGTTTGCAACGCTCCAAGTCGGACCTGAGTGAGCGCTTCTCACGGGCAGCAGCTGACCTGGAGCGATTCTTTAACTTCTGTGGCCTGGACCCGGAGGAGGCGCGGGGATTGGGTGTGGCCCACCTAGCACGGGCCAGCTCAGACATCGTGTCGCTGGCGGGGCCGAGTGCTGGGCCAGCCAGCTCCGAGGGGGGCTGCTCCCGCCGCAGCTCAGTCACCATCGAGGAGCGGGCTCGGGAGCGTGTCCCCTATGGCGTGTCAGTGATAGAGCGCAACGCCCGCGTAATCAAATGGCTGTATGGGTTGCGGCAGGCGCGGGAGACTCCAGCAGCTGAAGGCTAGGTGTCCACTGGAGTCGGGATCTTAGAGAGGCTGTTGGCCTCTTGACCTCTCCTGCATTCATTCCCTGGCTTGGAGCAGACCCAAGGCCACTGCCTTGTGTGAACTTGCTGTGGAGGCAAAGGCTCAGAGCCCCCATCTGGCAAGGACTGACCTGGAGAGAGTTGGCTCTTGACCTTGGACCACTGCCTGGCCCTCACATGTAGGGTTTTGACATGAATGTCCCTTGCTTGTGGGTTTGGATTTGGGGCACTTAACCCTCCCCACTGAGAGTGGGGGGCCAGGGGATCTCACCAGAACTGTCTACCCAGCAGCTCTGTTTCTTTCTTCCTTCCTTGGCCTCTGTCATTTACTGACTTCCTCTTCTTTAGCCCGTGGGCCTTGGTTACCTGGGAACTCACTCTGGGGGAAGGGGAGGGGGGTGGCGCAGGGAAGAGTGGCCTTGGCAGCCTGGGCCTAGGTGGGTGGACTACAGAAGGGACTGGTAGCAGTCTGCACTGCTCTGACTTCCCTCCTTTTAGTTAATAAACACAAATGCTTGTTTTTCAAAGGCTGGGTCATCAGATTCTTCTGTGTTCACAAGGGGAAAGGATGGGAAGTCTTGGGATGGTGCCTTCAAAAGTCAGTGATTGTCCACCCCAGGATCTGGGGGAACATGAGTTCAGTGTCTGGCCTGGCCTGAGACTAGCCTCACAGGGCATCCTCAAGACCCCTCTGGGAGGCTTGCTGATGGGCCTTCTTCATGGAATTTGGGATAGAGGACTGGGAAGAGGACCTGCAGGGAAAGGCTGACAGGCATATGGACCCTCCCCAACCTTAAGTGATGTGCCCTTTCCCATCCCAGCCCAGCTCCCAAGGGGGCAGGAAGCTCAGAGAGGGCAAGCCCTGAACTTGAGGTCACACAGTCCATAGATTGGAAGTGGAATTCTTAGAGGAAGCAGAACTTGAGATGGATAGAAAAAAATGAGTGGCCTTGCCCCTAACTCTGAGTGACCCTGGTCAGGCCAGTCTCCCTCTTTGGGCCTTGGTGGATGAGTTGGCAGCATGGTTTTATTTGGGCTTGGGGAAAGGGAAGGAGGTGGCTGGCACTGGGCTTTGAGATCTCGGCTTCTTCCTGTCTCCCTCCAGGTTAGTTACCTGCGAGGAGAACCCACCCTTGGCTGATGAAGCAACTAGGGCCAGGCACATAAAGGATGAGAACCTGGATGGGCTCTGCGTCCCTGCTTTCCCGAGGGAGGGGGCAGGGCTGGGTGGCTCTTCCTCTCCTGCAGGCTGCCTGGGCTGTAGCACTCAGAAACAGGAAGCTCTAATGGGGGCCCTTGGTGGCAGGTTTGATGTAGGTTTTATTTTAAGCATAAAGAGATTTCCGTTGGGCTGTTGACAAACATCCAGGTCAGCCCAGCTGTCTGTCTGACAGTCCACCACCAGTCCCTAGGGGATTTGACTGGGCTTGAGCCATTTGGGGAAATAAGGGGAAATCAGGTTGTAGAAGAGGATGGTGTTCAAATTCGTGAGGATGGAGTTCACCCCTCATGATACAGATCGGGAGACTGAGGCACAGGCCTGGGATGACCTGCTGTAGGCTCCCAGCAGGTTTGTCAATGCAGGACCCGGGCCCCCTTGTCCCCGTGTTAAAGGAGTGATGGGGTTGGGGAGATAATCTGTGTCAGCTCTGCAGAGGTGGTGTCTTTTGAGGTGTCAAAACCTTTACCTCAAAGGCAACTCAGCCTGAATTCTGTGCTAATGGTTGTCCCCTTGCCGTGAGCTATCAGTTCTCTAGAAACACAAGGAGGGAGCATTGGTTGTATTTTACATGCAAAGAAATCAAGGTTTGGGTCACAGGACTGCTGGTGAAGATCTGGAAGACCCCTTGTTCCTGGAGTGCTGGACTCAGACCATTCATACTAAACCTGTCACTGAATTCTCAAGGTGACTTTTTGAGGGTCACCCGAGAAGATCACCTCTTGTCTTAGAGCAGGGAGGGGTAGCGGCTTATGGGCTGTCACAGAGTGGGTCTGCACTCCAACCTGGGGGCACACGCTAGCCTCCTAGGCATCCCAGTCACTGGCTTTCTGGCTCCTCGATTCTTCTGACACATGCCTCACCTCTCTTCCCCATCCTGGCAGCCTTTCCTCCTAGTCACTCTTGAACACCTACTGGATGTCCAGCAGTTGGCAAGACAGCCATGGGCCCCGCCAGGTCTCAGGGGAGGGAAGGAGCCAGTAAGCAGAAACTAGTCATATAATGTGGAACAGATGCATTCAGGGACTTCTCCCCTAAGACCAAAGCTGTTCCTAGGAGCTGCGATGGGGGGGAACCGAGAGGGGCATTGGGAGGGTCTGATGCAAGAGAGCAGGGAGGGGTTCTTGGAAATGAGGAAGGTGAGCCAGCTTGAGCCTTGACTTCTCTGACAGGGGCTCCCCTTGGCCAGGATTCCGTGGAGGGAGAGGCTAGCGGCTTCTGCCATCCCCTTACCCCCAGCCTACCAAGCCTTGGGGATCCACAGAAACAGGCCCTCTATTGTTTCGCCTCCAGTTGGAGTGTGAGGGGCAGTGATTGGCAGCCGCTGTGTTTCAGCCCCTGTGAGGGCCTGCAGCTGCTGCCTTGTCCCCTGGGGCTGCCTGGCCTCCATAGCAGCTTCCCCAGGCCAGACTGGCCCCAGCTGCCTAGCCCCTAATTAGGCAAAGATGAGATTTGCTCCCTGATCTATTTCTCACCCGCTAATTATACACACTTGGGCTTGGGGGACTGGCAACCTGGCTGCTCACTTCTGTCATGAAGGTGTGATGGGCCCTCTGGGAAAGTACCCGTCCCCACCTGCAGGACCTCAGTTTATCTTGATAGAGGAAGGGATATAGTGAGAGGGTATTGTCCCTGCCCTGATGAAATGGTTCTGCCTTTGCTAATGAGTTGCTGAAGGGGTTCAGGGGAAGGAGACCCCCCAATCCTGCCTGACACCTGGTGTCCAGGGGAGTCTGCAGATTCATCCTGGCCCAAGACAGAAGCCCCATCCAGGTTTTTAAAAAATTTAATATTATTTTTCAGATGATACATTTATATATTTCCCCCCAAATTTTATTAAAATGTTCAAACTTAAAAGTTGATAGAATTATTCAGTGAATACATATATCACCTACTAGATGCATAGTTGTTAATATTTTGCTATATTTGCTCTATCAGACATCTATCCATTCTTCTATCCATCCAGTAAGACAATTGGTTTTTTTTGAAACTTTTCAAAGTAAACTGAAGCGTCAGTACCCTTCTCCTCAAAGACACTTCAACATGTATATCATCAGCTAGAGTTTCATATTAAATATCTGTTTATGGTTAATTCTTGGGAGTGGGAAGTAAAATTTATATACAGTGAAATGCATAGATCTTAAAAGTACCATTTGCCGAATTTAGACAAGTACATAATGTACCCCAAACCCCACTCAGAACACAGAGCCATGAACAATTCCCTCACATTCCTTCCCAGTCAGTTCTTGTCCCCACCTCATGGATGTATCTATGTATCTATATAAATTAAATATTACTGAAAACAACATTCCCTTGCCCTTCCCTTCCCACTCCCAGCCCTGCTCCCCAAAGTAAACACATTCAACTTTTTAAACTATTTCTTCTGACATTTTCCTCCATATTTCTAAGTAGCACTCTTTTCCTGCCATTATCTTGATTAATTTTAGGCAAATGTTGACTTTCAGGTTTGATATTCCCAGAGTGTGGCTTCTGCAACCTGTCTGTGTTTGAATTCTAGCTCTTTCCTTTACTGGCCAGATGATCTAGCAAGTCCTCTTAACTTAGACTTAGCTACCTTAAGACTTAGCTACCTTGTGCCTCAGTTTCCTCATTTGTAAAATGAGTAATAAGAATACTGAAGATATTGGACTGTTATGAGGATTCAGCATGTTAAGTGCCTAGAATAAGGCACATCACCCAGTAGGTGGTCAAAACTGTTTCTTTTTGTAGTTATTATTATCAAGGAAGACAACTTTTCTCACCCCTTTTCTTTCAAAATCAAAATTTATCACAATTTTTCATTAAATGATTAATTAATATTGTTATATTGTGACCATATAAATATTTCCTTGCCAAGTTGCATATTACAGTTAGATTTCCTTTTTTGGTGAAACTCTGGTCTTCCTGGAGTTATTACCTGCTTTGTTTTCCATTCACTTAGTTTTCTCCTTACTCATATTTGATTCTTGGACATCTTGAATTTCCCCATAGTTACACATAGAGGATAATTTATTGGTTCCAATTTTCTTCCTGAAACCCTTCAAGAGCTTTATAACAATCCTCACACCCCTTTAAAAACAACAATGGAACCAATTTTTTTAAAATGCAGTTTTAAGTACAAATACAATTTGTAAGATAAGCACTTGTGAGCATCCACTCTCTGTCCCTGCTCACGTGGGTCTCGAAGAGGAATAAAAGGCCTCTGCATTTATCCACAGGAACCCCTACAGCATGTCTGCTCGCTGCTGCCAGCCTCTGGCTTGTCCTGTGCCCTTGGCTTTATTCATTTATCCATTCAACAAAAGTCCATTTCTATTCACCTTGGAACTCTACTGGGCAGTGCCAGCAACATAGAGCTTGGGCAGTGTCAACCCATCTGTTCCCAGATTGGCATTTACACTATGCATTACATTACATTGGCAGCCAGGAGATTGTGTGTGGGGTTAGGTGATGGCTCTGTGTGTGTGTGTATGTGTGTGTGTGTGTGTGTGAGACCTGTAGGGGCATGTGAGTGCTTATGTGGGTGCCAACAGACTTGCTATGAAAGTTCATCTGTGTGCATTTATGTGCATGTACTTGTGTGTATAGACATTGACAGTGTGTGTTCACTAGGTGTATGTATCAGTAAGCCCTTCCTGCGTAACAGGGCACCCTGGACCCTAAACAAAAAATTATTAGCTCATGATTCCGTGAATTGGAAATCTGGTTTGGGCTCAGCTGGGCAGTTCTGATCTTACTTAGGCTCACTCACATAGCTGCAG